TCTGATACCACTCTGCTGCACTTGGTCACCAAACCCTCGAGCAGTGTTCCCCAATCTGGTCCTCAAGGACCCACACTCGGTCCATATTTTTGCTTCCTCTGAGCTCCCTGCCAGACAGTCCACATTTTTGCTCCTGTGAACTGTCTGTTGGTCCCTGAGGACGGGACTGGGAAACATTGCCCTGCAGTGATGGAATTATGGAGATGCACCTTCCTCCACTTTGGGACAATGACAGTGTCGTTTGTCAAATATCTGCCAAACAGCTAGGACTCTGCAAAATCCTCATGTACCGTGAGGTTTGAAACATCAAGTGGATGCTGTCAGCATCTCATTCCTTTATCTATAATTGTAGATAGCCTGGGAAGTGTGTTCTGGAATGTCACAGAACCAAACAGATCAGTGCATTCATTCCAGAACATTAACGTATATCTTACTATTACAATGCATGTTCAAAATGCACAGGGAAGACGGTTTGCATGAATAACGCAGCTTCCGGAATGTACTTTAGGGTTCTGCGAGAGCGCCTGTGCTATGCATATGCCCTCATGTGCCTGCATGTGTCGTGTTCAGCCAGTGCCTGGGATTGTGCAGGTGTGAGAGGGCACAGCAGAGCCAGCTCTTTAATATTCCCTGCACTGCTCATTGACTCATGCTGCAAAAACCTGAATCGGGGGGGAGGAGGGGAGGGGGAGCAGCTGAAAGGCAGGGGGTGGGGGGGGGGAGAGAGCGACAGGGATGAAACGAAGGAGAAATAAAAGAAAGGGATGATTCTGGTCCCCCCCAGTGTGGAATTTGCGGCAGTTTTGTGGTGGGAGGTGGGATTTAATTTTCCGACAGCTTCACGAAGCGCCCGTTTTTTCGTCTCGCTCCTCAAGGAGGGTGTCTGCTTCTTCCGTTCACAACTGTGATTTTCTGCAGCTCGTTCACTTAAGTGGGGGCTGGGGGTTGGGGGTTGTGCAGACTGCACAACCTGCTGCTTGATACTGCGCCGCGTTATCAAATGTGATATGAGTGCGGTGTCTTTGGGGGCAGAGCCGCTCATCCGTCTCTCTCGTCTCCCTGACCCCCTTCATCTCTCTGTCAGCTCGGATTTAATCTCCCCCTCTTTCGGCTTCCTCTGCTCTGTCGCCTCCCATCCCATCTCCTGTTTTCCTCCCCTGTCCCCTTGCTTTCTCCTCATTGCCTCGCTCGCTCACTCGCTCGCCCGCTGCAGCAAGGTGGCGGAGCGGGGAGGTGAGTGGGCAGCGCTGCTGGTGACTGGACCTAACGGCCACTTAATGAGCCCAAGTTCGTAAGCAGCTGGGAGGGGGGGTCCTGAGGTCACATGGCCAGCAAAGCTTAAAAAACCAGCACGTCGTGCTTATGAAGCTGAAAAATGGAAGGAGAGACACAGAGGGACAATGGAGAGGGGAAAGGGAGACTGGAATGGCTGGTGACATTATTGCTCCGGTCCTGTTTGGTTCATGACTTTATCTCTGCAGAAAAACATGCAGCGCTGGGCTACCTCATTGGCCGGGATCTCCACCAATCAGAGTGCAGGCATGTAAGGTGCCTTTAGGTTATACCCAACCCTAGAAAACAAGAAACAGTGGAGAGAGAGAGGGGGGAGCAAGGCAGGCAGCAGCTTGGCAATATTTCTGAGGCATTCCAGCCTTTACACTTTGCAAACGTTCTCACTGAAGAAACGTGGCCGGTGTGGTGGGAATTCTGTCCCTAAATCATGGTTTTCCTGATATGAATTTTCTTACTTCTTGCATTACCTGGAGACCACTTGCAGTTGCAGCTCCCCTAGAACTTTCCTCAGCACTCTACCTTTTCAGCAACCCCCCCCCGCCCCCGAACGCCCTGTTCCATCTCAGGAGCGCAACAAACTGTCTCCGGCCACGGACAGGGATCTCACCTGGACAGGAGGCCGAGGAGGGGGTGGGAGAAGATTGTGGCTCAGGACCTCTTTTCAACCCTCCGTGTTACGGACAGGAACATCGGGGTTCCAGAGCCATCCAGAGCCTTGAGGAGGAGAAGGAGCACCAAGAACTACTCGGCTGAAGCGTCGGACCACAAATAGGAGTGAGGACACAAAGGAGAAGCAGAACGGAGAGGATGATTTTGGGTAAGTTATTCAAACTCCAGCTATTTGATTCTGGCTCTAAGAAATGCCGCCAGCAATGTGTTACAAGTGCTAATTACCGCCTTGCGAGTAACAAATGTTTATAGTCGTTTCTGCAGTGTTTTTGTAAATTGTGGGTATCAGTGTGAAATTGGCAGTTGATCTGTGTATTCAGAGCGTTCTGCCTGCTGGATGAGAAGAACATTGGGTGTTTGTGTCACTTGGAGACTGTTTTCCTGGACAAATTCCCCCGATGGTGCCGTTACGCTGCAGGCAGAGCCCGGGCAGTCACCCGGACGGCGCGATTCTCGGTTATTTCCGAGGCGGACTCTCGTTGTCAGCACCTGGCATTCCCACTGCGCATCTGTGTGAGGAAGCAAACTGGTGGGGAAGGGGGGGTGTTTGTCCTCATCGCTCAAACAGGACATTTCTGACAGCGATAAGGAGGACTTGCTGGGTTGACTTTGGTTTTGTTTCTGTGATGCGGTGTTTATCTCACACCTCTGACCACAGAATGATTTATGGTGTTGCTAAAACATGTTGGAGAGGTGAGTGGATTCTTTTGTAAGCTCCGTGCAGCTGAGCCGGGGTGCATCCTGCAGAAAGAGACCTTGCCTTTTTGGGATGTCATCCCAGCACTCTGGCACGCTGTTCCCCAGGAACGGTGCTGTAATTGACTCCGTGTCCAGTCAGGCTTGGCAATGTTGCTGTATGAGTCCCTTCGTGTCCTTCTCCATCAGTCTCTCTTCTTGGGACATCTCTCCCGTCCTTCCCTCTGTCTCCCTCTCTCTCTTTTTCCCCCTGCACTGTGAGCTCTTGCTGGGTATCTTCAGTCTTCAGTCTCTGTGTAGTGTGTGTGTGTGTCCCCTCTGTACAAGATGCGCATGTATGTTTGTGTGTGTTCTCTCTGAACACAGTCTGTGTGTCTTCTCTGAATGCTACAAATGTGTGTTCTTTTTTAACCCTGTGTCCGTCCTCTCTGAACTTAGCATGTGTGTGTATTCTCTTTTAACACTCTGTGTCCTCTCTGAAAACACTATTTTAACATGGTGTGTGTCCTTTCTGAACACAGCGGGTGTGTGTGTCCTCATTTAACACTGTGTGTCCTCTCTGAACACAGTAGGTGTGTGTGTCCTTTTTTAACCTTGTGTATGTGTCCTCAGTGGGTGTGTGTATCGTCTTTTAAATATCAGTGTCCTCACTGAACACAGTGGCTGCTATCTGCGTGCTCAGTAACAGCTGCAGTGCTCATGTCACAAATGGGGATTAAATTCACGCAGCTTTGTCTGCTGAGTATTTATTTTCTCTATAAAGTGAGATGGTTGTATTCTCTGGGTCATTTCTGTGACCTCTGTTACTGTGTGTCTTCCTTATGTAACAGGAGATCCTACATTACATAATGTGTGTCCTCCTCATGTCCTGTGCGTGTATCTTCTCTTTGTATTTTGTAAGGGTCCTTCACATGTTCTGTTTGTGTTTCCCCGATGTTCTGTGTGTGTGCATGTTCCCTGTACTTTAGGAAAGTGACCCCTGTGTTCTGTGTGTGTATGTATCCTCCCTCTGTTCTGTATGTGTGTTCTCCCTGTGTTCTGTGTAAGTGTCCTCCATGTGTTCTCTGTGTGTTCCCCCTGTGTTTTGTATGTGTTCTCATTTTGTTCTGTGTGTACGTGTCGTCCCTGTTCCATTTGTGTCTGTCCTGTGTCTTGTGTTCTGTGTATATGTATCCTCTCTATCTTCTGTGTGTGCCTGTCTTCCCTGTGTTCTGTGTGTCTGTCTTCCCTGTGTCCTGTGTGTATGTGCCCTCCCTGTGTTCTGTGCATTTATGTTCTCTCTGTGTCCTGTGTGTTTATTTGTCCTCTTTGTGTTCTGTGTCTGTCCTGTCTGTGCACATCTGTGTGTCCTCCCCATGTTCTGTCTGTCCTTTTTGTGTCCTGTGTCTATGTGTCCTCCCTGTGTCCCGTGTTTATATGTCCTCTCTATGTTCTCTGTGTGTGTCCTCCATATGTCCTTTGTTTATATGTCCTCTCTATGTTCTCTGTGTGTGTCCTCCATATGTCCGTTGTTTATATGTCCTCTCTCTGTTCTCTCTGTGTGTCCTCCCTGTGTCCTGTGTTTATATGTCCTCTCTATGTTCTCTGTGTGTGCCCTCCCTGTGTCCTGCGTGTATATGTGTCCTCTTTTTGTCCTGTGTTTATATATCCTTTTTCTGTGTTCTGTGTGTGCCCTCCCCATGTTCTGTCTGTCCTTTTTGTGTCCTGTGTCTATGTGTCCTCCCTGTGTCCTGTGTTTATATGTCATCTCACTGTTCTGTGTGTGTGTCCTCCATATGTCCTTTGTTTATATGTCCTCCCTCTGTTCTCTGTGTGTGTCCTCCCTGTGTCCTGTGTTTATAGGTCCTCTCTCTGTTCTCTGTGTGTGTCCTCCCTGTGTCCTGTGTTTATAGGTCCTCTCTCTGTTCTCTGTGTGTGTCCTCTCTCTGTTCTCTGTGTGTGTCCTCTCTCTGTTCTCTGTGTGTGTCCTCCCTTTGTCCTTTGTGTGTCCTCCATATGTCTTTTGTTTATATGTCCTCTCTCGGTTTTCTGTGTGTCTTGCCTGTGTCCTGTGTGTTTATATGTCCTCCCAGTGTCCTGTGTGTTTATATGTCCTCCCTGTGTCCTGTCTGTTTATATGTCCTCCCTGTGTCTTGTGTGTGTCCTCCCTTTGTCTTGTGTTTATATGTCCTCTCTCTGTTCTCTGTGTGTGCCCTTCCTGTGGTTCAGCTCATTTATATCATGAAGCAGTCCAGAGTGAGAGCCTCTTGTCGCATGGTGAAAAACTGGCAGCCTCTTCACGTCTCCCACCTGACAGTTCTGGCTTTAAGCTTGAAGGCACTTTGTGCTGCAGGCTGGTGTTTGTGCCTTTGCAGGCTAAACGATCTAGCAACCCTTTTGGGACGTGGCTCCGAAGCTTGCAGCAAAAAAGCAGCCTTCATGCAAGGCATTCATACACAGAATCTATACAGAGAATTCACATACGCATTCATGCGTTCATTCACGCATGCATGTTCAGATATAGTGTTTACACACAGCACTCACACAGTGTTTACACAGCCTTTACACACAGCATTTAAACATAGTATTTACATGCAGTGTTTACACACACCATGCACTGTCTATACTTGACATCCCGCTATTTGCTGCTTCACCTGACAGCTGATCTCATGCCTGTTCTTCCGACGTACTTCATTTATAGAACATTTTTCTGTAATGTCAAGCCCCGCACACGCCCCCTTCAGGCAGCATGTAAATCAGTACCCGGCGTGAAACAGTTAAAAGGCAGCGATGGGGCAGCGGGAGGCTGTGGCCCGCGTCTCTTTTAATGGACTGTGAATTCATTAACCTCTCGGCGGGGGACAGCGCTGCGCCGGAGCGGGGCCGCTCGTCATTACCGCTCAGCATACAGCCCTCGTCTCGGATGCCGAAGCATTCCCGTCCCCCTTTCCAGCACGTTGTAAAATCCGTCAGAGATGCAGGAGTGCGGGGGGGGGGGGGGGGCGCAGTATGACGCACTTCACCATGAATGTGTGACGTCTGGCTGCCATGTGCGTTCTCAGACTGCCTCGATCTCGGCTTGACCTTGAGGACTTTAGCAGCAAGGTGAAGACATCAGGCAGAGACAAAACGGACAGCGGCCCCTTATTCCAAGAGTGGCAGGATACTGGCGGTGGGGGGAGGGGTGATTGTACTAATCATGGAATGATTGTTGGTACCAGGAAGGTGGCAGCACTGGGCGATTTTCCTGCTCACCGTTATCTCGTCCTAGTCTTTCTCTAAAAGCTGCGGGTTTTCCAGTCCGGTGACACGATCGAACAGGGCTGCATCATGGCCACCAGTGAATAAATACCAGCGGCTCAGGTAGCGGCCGCTGAAGATGCCAGCTCAGGGAAATGGCGGACAGGGAGTCGAAGCAGGGTGCCGGAATGCAAGTTGGTTCTAATCCCATTTGCGATGCACTTTGCACGGGACAACGCAGGATGGAGTGACGCGAATGGGTACTGCTCACATGTGTGAGCGAGCCCCACCGAATACCCCCCCCCCGCATGGGCGATCTGTGCGGCTGCTGCCTCCCGTGTCACCCTCTCAATCTCCCAGCGCATTCCTGCGGGTCCCCATCTGTACGCCTCACGCCCAGACCAGCTCCCCTTCACCGCTTCCTTATCTCTCTTTCCACTTATGCTGTTTTCTTCTGACCTCCTGCATGCCAGTCAGCATCTTCAACCATCCTTGGATGTCAGATTATTAAAAGAAAGAAACTGAAAAGGAAAGAAGGAACTGATTCGCCCATAATTCCTCGCACTTTCGCTCCACTCTGTCTGTCTCAGAGTGACACAGCACTTTTAGCCCTTTAAGCTAAAGGCTATCGTCTTCAATTGGACACATTTTATGAGACACAAAAAGGCCTTTGGGGGTGGAAATGGGGTTTTCCTCATATACCCCGTCACAGCTGGATCGCACATCTCCCCCGCTCCTCCCAGCTCTATGTAGAGAGATGCCTTTCATAACCCGCGCTCAATTTTTAATGAGCCTTTTGAACTAACAGGCAAAGCCGCTTCACTTATGAAAGCTGCAGCTGCTTGGCTGAGCCGCGTGTTGCCCGGCTCGCGCACCGCACTGCGTCAGGGTCCCGCCTCGCCATGTCATGTGACCAAATTCCCATCCCTGGGAATATGTCGGGATCCCTGTTGTCCATGCTCACCGGGGGTGTCGTCGTGCTGCATCCGCTCCACCGCCATGGAATCGCGCCGCGTCCTCACCAGCTGGGACGCCACGTCGATGATTTTCCCCTGAAATGGGCTCATCATGGCTGTGTTATTTGCCATAATTGTGTCCCTTGATTTTGTGTCCAGTTTGCCTAATGGTTTGGCTCCTGCCTTTGCATGCTACTTTCCCCCACATGGCTGATGGTGTGTGTGTGTGTGTGCGTGTGCGTATGGGGGGGATCTCATTATGAATCTTTTAAATAGC